CCAGAGCTTTTTCCATCATGCCATCAACTATTCTAACAACGTTTTTTTTCGGTTAACGCCCCTCTTAAACTATGGATTATTATTGATGCATACCTCCCAACTCGTCAGCATGCTCTTCTAAGTGTTTCTGGGAGAAGATCTATGTTTGAAGGCATCTCTCTCTCTCTCTCTCTCTCTCTCTCTCTCTCTCTCTCTCTCTCGCTCTCTCTCTCTTTCTCTCTCTCTCTCTCTGCCTCTCTCTCCTTCTCTCTCCCTCTGTCTGCCACCCTCCCTCCCCCTCTTGGCTCTCTTCTACCAATCGTATGAGTGCGTGAGCGAACAGGTTTTGGGAGGTGTTGGTGAGAGGAGAGACCTGAAAAGCTACAGATTTCAAATAGCATGAATGGCTGGCTTAAAAGATCTAACACAGTTCTTGTCTACCATTCAATAACCAGTGCCCACTTTTGCCACATTTGAAAGGCTAAAATTCGCATACCACCCACCGCCCTGTATTTCCAGCGTTTCATTGAAAAATATCTGGGCGATACCTACCTCCTATCAAAATGTGCAAATCGCCAACTACTCATCTAACACATGATTATCCTTTACATTTTTGCCAAATGCTTTCTTGTCTTACCTATGACATGTGTTTAGGTCATCCTTATGAAAAAGCTAAATGCCGTTTCATGTCTTGTTTGACGTTTACAATCTGCTATCAACACACTGGTCTTCACATTGCAATGTCTGAAAGCCAAGTCCTCCGTTCATATTTTGAACTGATTAAAAGAAAAAGGTAAAACAAACAGAGTTTTGAGTCAAATGTTAACTTACGTAGATAACACATTAAACAATGTTTCCAACAGGAATCTGCTTGCAAAAGAAGATTCAAAAGGAAATTCGGAACTTGTGTAGGCAGATGTCGATTTTGTTGGCCTGATCGTATAGCATTTGAACGTTAGAAAACGTTCAAACGATTAAAGGTGAAAAGCTGCCTTGCTAATTGTTTACTGTTTCGGGGAAACAGGCTGCTGGAGACAGTGGGAGAAAGAAAGAGAACTAAAAAAAGAGAGTGAGGGAGAAATAATGAGAACAAGAGGAATAGAGAGAATGGGATATGAGTGGTAGCAAGATCAAGAGAGAGAGATAGATATAGATAGATAGATAGATAGATAGAGAGAGAGAGAGAGAGAGAGAGAGAGAGAGAGAGAGAGAGAGAGAGAGACAGAGAGAGACAGAGGGAGAGAGAAAGAGAGGAGGGATACACGCACAGACACACAAACACTCACACAAACACAGAGAGAGAGAGAGAAAGAAACAGAGAGAGAGACGGAGAAAGAGAGTGTGGGAGAGGAGAGAAAGAGAAAGAGAAAGAGAGAGAGAGAGAGAGAGAGAGAGAGAGAGAGAGAGAGAGAGAGAGAGAGAGAGTATGTGTATGTGTGTGTGTGTGTGTGTGTGTGTGTGTGTGTGTGTGTGTGTGTGTGTGTGTGTGTGTGTGTGTGTGTGTGAGAGAGAGAGAGAGAGAGAGACAGAGAGAGAGAGAGAGAGAGAGAAAGAAAAGGAGACATCTTTATTTTATTCCTTCCCATGTATGTTTCCTCATATTTTACGCGTCATAGTCCGAAACTGAGGTACAACTTATTGGATTGCGGGCGTTTTCCTGATGGAATCTAATACTTATGATCTTATCTTGCAGTGGGTTCATCTTCACCGTGCCACAACTGCTCCGCACTGGCACAAACTCGGAGTTCTGCCTCACAATACACTCAGATGAACCCCAACAGAGAGCGGTGAATACCAGCCTCATCTCCTCAGACGATGGATCTACGAAAGTCAGGGTGGAAGTTATGTATTCACCTGGTAAGTGACGCTACGAATAACAAAATAGACCAATTAGAAAATGATTGAATAGGAAGCAGTTTGAAATTTCTATCTCAAAATACAATCAAAGTACAAATGGTTTGACATTATAAACGGAGAAGTATGTGATCCTACACAAGTATATTCTAAGCTCACGTACGTAGTTAGATGCAAGGGAAGAAAATATGTGACAGTAGAAGCATGCCTTTCCATGTCTTTCATGATTCTAATAGATAAAGGTCACAATAAATCTGATGTCACGAAAAATGTCGGAAAGTACTCCACAGATACATACAATTTATATTACTGAGCAAGATACCCAGTGTTATGGACAAACCTCCAAGCATTTCGATCTTCTTTTTCGAAACCTCAGCAATCTCTTTGACTTTAAAATTTTCTGCAGCAAAATTTTTTTTCATTCTTTGTCGGTACTCAGCAGCGCTAATTTTTGTTTTCCAAGCGTAACACTTTTCGCAACTAAAGGAAGAATATTGCGCTTGCTGGCGTTCGAAAGTGTTCACAGGTCAACACTTTTCTTGCAACATTTTCTTTTGTCGTCCAGGCGTCCAAAAGTGTACCAGCTTCAGGGTGCCAGAACAAGGAGAGTACGAACTGCTGCTCTCCAACGAGACTGACATTCTTCACGACTCCGTGGAGGTGAGCGTCCTGGAAGACAAACCCATCACCCTGGTGCAGACTGACAAACCCATGTACAAGCCAGGCCAGAAAGGTATGCGTGATCGTCTTTGCTTTTTTGGTGATTATTAAAGTTTGACTTGACGGGACTTCAGGCAAGACTAGGTGCCCAGTGGAAGAGTAGCGAAGAAGCTAGAGGGTAAGACCGGAGACGGACAACGTACACTGAAAGTCTCAATTGTACCCTTTAGCATTGATATTCATTTTTCTATTGAACGTATTCGCTAAAACAGAGTGTTATTGATAGACCAAATGCTGTGTTTATGATTGATAACTAGTCGGCTACATTCTCTATTCTTGATTATGTTTTAAGGTCAGACTCCGAGCAGTAATTTAGGTAAAAAAAATGTTGTTCATGTTTTGGTTGAAAAAAAAACCCAACAACAACCCCAAACCAAAACAAACCAAACCAAAGAAACCCACTCCAACAAAAACAAAACAAAAACAAGAACGACAATTAAACAAAACAAAACAAACACACACAAAAAAACCCACCAGCAGCAAATATGCTTGTCTAGTGGTTTCATTATAGGGCTGTAAGATGATAATTATTTGAAGCACTTCGCTATACTCTTTACTTTGTGTTATTTCTTTCTCTTTTCGCAGTGAAATTCCGTATAATGACACTCTTAAAAGATCTGACTCCAAGAATCGGCAAGGTACAGTATTGTTCTTCAGTCTCTTTATTTTTGTATGGGTTTGCAAAATATCCCAACTTCACTAGATGCAATAACTAATTTTGTTTGGACGGCGAAAAAAGCGAACGTTTAACTGACAGAAATAAACTAATTGGGTTGTTTAGGAGCCTTTTCGTCTTTCGACCGCTTCTACAAAGGACAACTCGGATATAGTGGGACACACTATCCTAGCTGAATGGCAGCTATACTGAATAAAATAGAGGACCCCAAAGGAAGAGTTAAGAATACGGAAGTAAGAAATCGGACATTTTAGAACTTTTTTTTTTTTTCAAGAATATTATTCTAAAATCAACAATGCTTTATGAGACCTAAACATGTTGTCCTAAAAATTATTAATACTTTTTCCTGAATTTGGTCCACAGATCAACTCCATCTTCATCACCGACCCCAACCAGATTCGAGTAAAACAATTTGTGAATGTTGACACGAAAGGTAGATGAGTCATTATGTTGCCTCTACGACAGAGGGAGTTTAAATCTCCACTTTCTTGTTTAAATATAATGCTTTCTTATGATTACTCAAGATTTTGTCGGTATTTTTAATGATGTCTTTTTTTAGAGACCAGGCACAAAAAACGCACACGGGAAGGCACTGACATGCACACCATACTGATCATAATTTCAAGCCCCAAGAACTTTGCTGCTCAATCAGAAAACTCATAATCTGTAGATACAACAAGTTTCATTTATATAGATTTAATATTTCCACATTTTTGACCAAGCAATACTTATCCCGCGCCCTTCATCATGCATGCGACTCTATATTATCACCAACTATCACCAACCACACAGGGTTGGCAAGTCTGGAGTTCCAGCTGTCATCAGAGGCCAAACTTGGAATTTGGAAGATCGACGTCACCATGATGGATAAAGGAGAGAACAACGCAGTCCCTGTTCCTACCACGTTCGAAGTGAAGGAATACGGTAAGCAGTATAATTTTTATAACTGTATGCTGTCAAGGTTTTGTATTTGTTAGTTGCTTATCTATTTTGGTCTATGTGTAAGCCCAGTGGGCGGTACCCTAAAGAAAAGATGTGCTAGATCGACAATAAAACTTAACAAAACAAAATAAAACGACTAAATCAGAACAATTTTGAAAAAGACAAGAAAAGAAACCCACTAAACTCAACAACAAAATTAAGCCCGGAACCGGAACAATGGAGTACACATAAGTTTATCCATCAGGACGAATCGTTAATAATAATGCAAACATCAAACCACAACCTCGTAGTGCGACTCACAAGTACAGAATAATGTTGTTCCCTTTTACTACTCTGTGAATTTTTTTTCAGTACTTCCCCGATTTGAAGTGGAAGTGAACCCTCCCCCATTCTTGTTGGCCAACACGGAGATCATTGAAGGCAGTGTCTGTGCCAAGTGAGTATCGGCAGCGGATTACATTCTCCTTGTGAATAAGTTGTATTATTAGACTAGCGAACGATTATGGTCTAGAATCATTTACAAAAGTTGGGCTTGTGTATTCCAATCGTAATAATATAGACCGACAGGTTAGAGTTTGAGACCATCTAAACTTTGTTCCGGCATGATGCTGCACCTGAGTCCTGGTCATAGTAAACGCTTTCTGGACCTGTGCATCGCCTTTTTAAGTATCTAAAAAACAAGCACTCCATCACAGAATGTCTTCAAACGTACCTGTTTTACTTTTTCTACATAAGTGCAGCACGAAAGGTATGGGGTTAGTTGTATGCCATATTGTACTAACGGGTATTGCCTTATTGGTAATGTGACGGTATAAGCTTCGTCTTCATC